ACTACTGTGTCTGCAGTGCAAAATGATTAATGTGATGATTATTACTTCAAGGAAATGATAAAGAAAGTGTATTGCTATCATGTGGTCCTTACTAAAGTTGGTAAAACTAGAGAAGCAAGCGGTCGGCAACATTCATCCCTTAAGGCCCTGAAGATCTTTTGCATCCAGCAGCCACCCATCTTCGCCTCTAAAAGATGCTTATTTTCACTCATCTGTTGCAAATTAACTATAATTATAGAGAAATTCTCCTCTTGGCTTCATTTTCAGCGTTTTGTCGCTCCTGTCTGTGCCGTTTTCAAACATGTAGCTGGCATTAAATTTTAAATGAGCATACATTTTCAGCTCCAACATTATGCTGCCCGTGCACTAGTTTCAATTAAACATAGGCTTTAAATGATTTGCAAACCGTCCAATTCTGTTTTGAATGTTTAGACAGCGTTCCCACTCTTTTGGAATCGGGGGTTCTTTTATAATGAAACATTGATGCAAAGCTTGCTGATTCACTCACATTGGAGTGATTGCCTCTAGAGATCATTTGTACATGAGTGGCGACAAACACATCCCATCCTCTGAGAGGGGAGGTGTGTTGCATTATTGAGCATCGGGATTATCATTGTTTACCGCATTGCTACCCTTAATCTCCTTTTATCCGGAATCCCTACTCTGAGTGTGACAAATTTATTTATAATTTGGTTAATTTGTGTTAAGACGTGTGTGTACAAAGTGGGCTTGATTTGCTTGAACGCCCTTCACTTTTTCTCTCGGCAGTAAGGAAGGAATAAAAAATAATAAAAAAAAAAAAACAAGTGGGAGCACTCCTCACTCATCTGCTGTTTTCCCATGCATACCAATAGGCCCGAATCGATGGCATCTTTTAATTGAAAATAGATGGAGCCGTTTATATGCAGCCTGATCTGCTGCACCTTTAGCCCTGCTCCTCCAACGCACTGCGATTGCAGATATATGTGCTCTACTTAAAAATGTTCAGAGTGTTTGCTGGAGGTACAAATCTGCTCGGCGTATTTCTGCTACGAGGAGCTCAGCCTTTAATGTCATTAGTCAAAGACGGGATGTTTAATCATCCCTCTGCCCGCTTATTGATTTGCCATTAGTCGACAACTATTTAAAGAAAACCTTGAATGGAATCTCCAGCTTCAGCCGACGGCGTCTCTTAATCACCAATGGACGACCTTGGACTTGTTTAGTGGTATCACAACACCACATCACGTATCCCGGATACCTTGCCCCTGCACTTCTCCAGGACTATACATCATTGAGAAATGCCCAGAAGGGTCTCTTGATTGTGCTCCCGAGAGCACATAAGGGATTCATGAGGGAACATAAAAGAGGTAAGAAGAGGAAGAGGCTACAGACAGCACGATGGGAACGACTCCCAGGTGCTCCACTACAGGGTGGTAACTATTGTTTTTTTCATCACTGTGAGTAAACCTTTGTACCTTTCTGAGGCCTCAACCTGGGAAATATTTCTGGGATCTGCAACCCTTCTTATAATTAGATTTGAATCCAATAACTCAAAGAGTTATGACAAATGTGTCACCATCATCCATACCCACATCGCTAGTGAATATCAAAAGGTTCGGAAGGTTTAATAAGTGGCATAATCATGAAATAAATAAATACCTTCACAGAAAACCTGCTTTGATGCCATTCAGTGCGAGCGACTCCAGTTTTAATCATGTACAATAAAAATCCCTTAATGACTCTCTTTAAAGTCAGCCTTTGCATGCATGAGCTGCAATGTGATCTACTGTAAGGCCATTACCAATGCAATCTGCTTTAATGTGCTTTATGTAATTACCAATATGCACTTACCATGCTAAAGTACCTCTCCCTCTGCACATACGCAAACATATAGCATGATGTAAAGCTTTCCTATGTGGCCTGACAGATATTCTTAAATCCCTTCCTCCCGGCAGATGTTTCCTTGTCACACACTATGATACATTGCATGTCAGAGGCAATTCCAACCTAGATTTCTCTCCAGATGAGCACTTTCGCCGTCATTTGTACGGGCGCTGTGGATCGAGCCACGTCCCACCCCACCCCCACCCCTCTGCTGGAGTGACGCATTAAGCCGAGCGTTATCTGGTTGAGTGGCGTCAGCGTGATCAATGCGTATCACGGCATCATCATGCAATGACGTGAGACTGGGTTTAGAAGTAAAACCGACGCCTCGGTTTGTACTCAGGATCCAGCGAGTTCATTTGGGGTTTGCTTTGCAGATTGGATAGTGGTTCCAGAGTCTGTTACAGATTGTGGCACAGCGTGTCTTCATTGGAGAGTAGTAAACATCATGTGAAACATTTTGCACTTCACGTCCAATGAATGTTTTAACACTCCGCAACACTTCCCCTTATAGCAAGGACTGGGGTTTGGTGTTGCATGCAAACTCCATGCTCCTCCTAAAGACTTATACACAATCACTTATGTTCAATGTTCAGCATGCTGGGAAATTGATATCATATGGGAAGTAATACAGGATTGTATAGGGATAAAAAGAAAAAAAAAGAAAAAAAAAACATGCCGAATTAGCTATGAGAAGTTATTTTTTGTAATTTCACCCTGATTAAACAGACAACTATGACTGGTCTCTTTTGAGCATGAAAACTTGTAAAAATGGTGCAATTCTCAGGCAGGTTTTGTGGACTAGAAGTAGAATAGTAAATAAGGATTTTGAAGAGGATATTGTGCATCTTGGAGACATTATTTTTGAGAAAAAAGTTGGTCAAACTAAGTCTTTGGGTTTCGCCTAGCTATACGTTGAAACATGGTTAGTCAGCTACATTTGGGTTGATAGCCAAAATCAGGTAGTATATCCCAGTTTAAGTGTTATGGACTCTTCCTGCATACTAATTTATATGGCATAGGCTTGCATGGTTAATGCTAATTCTCGTTTGTCATCTGTTAGCCGAGTTAAGATAATATTATGCTGTTTTTCCAAAATCCACTCCAGCAGTTTAGATTTTAGGTAGAACAGGCAGGTTTTAGACCCAAGTATTAGAGAGAGTTTTGATCAGATATTGTAAAGATACCCAGAGATGTGTGGTATCTAGAGTACAGCAATGCCTTGGGATACCTCCCAGGGATAGCCTGAGATAACCGGAGAGTCGGATGTGGGCATTGTGTCTCTTTTATGGTACCTGGTCCAGACATCCTAGATGTTGGGGGTTTTGCAAGTCACAGGTCATACGTCAAAGCTAGGTGTTAATCAGATGATAAAGAAAGATGACTTAGAGACAAAGAGATGATGTAGGAGGACCTAAAACTCTAACCCTATATAACAGGATCACAAACTCAGGTTTGAGAGGGATGGACATCATTGGCAGTTCTCTCCCAGCATCCGTGGGGAAAAGCCCCTGGATCAAGTTTAACCCACTGAAAGCAGCCGGTCTCACAAAGCGAATAGATTTTACAACAAGTAGCTGCATAGTACTGTTAAACTACTGATTACTAAACCTCAAAATAGGACAAGCCTACTTTTTCAGATGTATAGCGAAGAAGAGAACCTGTCTTGATTTATTTGGGTCTGTATGGTTGTCAACTTTAGAGAAATCCTTCTTTTCTTTGCGCAAATATTTTAACATTTTTTGAACCCTCAAGAGCTTTACGTTAGGCGTCTTCCATTGTTCGCTAATGGGTCGCCAAATATGCAACTCCATCAGCTTTGGGGTACTTAACAGTAAAGGAGTGGTTCAATAACCTGAATTTTTCAGGTTGTCCATGTTGAAGTGATCTACCACCTGGAACCCAGCTGTAAAACACGACAATAATGGAGCTGCAGAAGAGGAGGTCCATGGTAGAGTCGTCACCCACTTCCTCTAGGTTATTTATTCTTCACTGAATGTTCCCAGTTTGTATAAAGAGGCCACACTCTGTACTGAGGAGTGACACATCAATTGCCTGGTTAGGCCTTTGTTTGCATTTGCTCCCTAAAACATGTTTTATAATAATAATGCGCTTTGATCAACTACACCAGCTGCAGCTTGTAAAGCCCAGCTGAGGCAGCTGGGGGAAAGCTAAACAGTGGATTTGCCGTCCCCCTCCCCTTCCCCATCATCCCTTCATCCATGCCTCCCATCTCTCCCTCTCTCTCTCCATCTCTTTGTTTCTCTCCCGCTGAAATAAACCATTCTTTTTATATCAGGAAACAGGCACACAGCTGGTCCACTGTCACACTTTGACTGATTTTCCGAGCCACGCGATTCATAATCATTGTGATCAATTATCATCTCGTTCCCAGATGACCATCTCGATTTAGTGTACCCTCTGTGGATTTCCATGCGGTGATTGAGGCAAAGTCATTTAGGATTGTTAGCCATATGACTGATCTTTGTGCATCATTTACGCTGTTTGCAGCCAAGTATTGCATCGCCATCGCTTTCATTATCAATACCTCGCCATAATCTTCGCCTTAGCTGACAATTCCTGGACAGAATATGGACTGTTTTGTGTTTGTAACAGCTGACAAAAGAGCTGTTTTGTCCTGTACGAATCTTGCAAAACTACACAAAAGAAGAAGCGGAATCACACAATCGTAAGCCAGAAATTTTATATATTAATCAAGAGATATATGGGGATTAACTGATGCACAATACCACCATCTGCAGCCCTGCTATTCATAACATAAAAATAAGCCTTTCTTGTTGATTTATATTAGTGTTAATGACAGAAGCATGCGATCGTTATTGATGCCGTTAAAATGAGGCCGGACATTTCTATGTTGCCGGGGAGCTGTCAATGAGCATTTCAAGGGTGTCGGAGCTGGCTCACAGTGATTGACGTCCGTGGAGATGCTAATGCTGCAGGACATGGGATCATTTTCTGCCTCAGTGTGTGTGCGTGAGTGCGGGTGATAGAAAGGAGGAGGCGAGAGGGAGGGAAGGAGTTTGAGTGAACGCGGAATAAGAAGAAAAAAAAAGACGTCTACTGCCACTGAGTCGTCCGGGGTGAGGCTCCTCGTGCAAAAATGTCAACATCGCTGAAAATGAACTTGAGGTAAGTGCCTTAATGGACTCGTTTGGGAGCTGCCACCGTGTCAAAAGCAACTTGTTAGAATGAGATCAAGAGAGGGAGGCCTGATTAATTATTTGCATATATTAGATTGGTGTATCCGCTAAGACTAAAGCGGGCTCTCTTGACATCAAGTTATCCTGCTGAGGTTTAACCAGTCTCTGCACTCATAATAAAGGGATCATCACCCATTAGGGATATCCTGTTTTCATCAGAGAAATTAGTCATTACTCCGCATGGTTAAATTTGTCTTATTTATTATTTCAGGGCGTTTTCATGCACCTCAAACTCATCTGCAGGGTGCAATGAGGGAAGGACTCGGAGGTAATACGCCATTCCGTAAGAAACTTTCTTTCTGTGCTCCAATTACGCCTCCTGAAGGATTTTTTGCTCAGATTCATCCACAGCACCTGCAGAATGTGAATTCCCCCCATCCTTTTGTTCTGTCTCATTTAACGCCAGCCTCCCCTGAGAAGACGGCAGTGTGTCCTCTTTGAGGGAAGGTGATCCGGAGTGGCAACCAAACTTTTCTTCCCCCCCTCTCCTTCAAAAAGGTGGGAGATACAAGGGGGCAAAAAGAATTCATTCCGTCTCCCTGCCGTGAAAAGTGTTGGCAAGTGAAGGCGCGGTGGACATGTTTCCTGCAGAGAAAACCCAGCGAGGGGTCCTTCTACTCTCCTTTTTTATGTTTATTTATTTCCCATTAAAAGAAAAGGATGCAAGTAAAAGTGATTCAAGCAAGGCTGGAAGAATTGTAATTAAATTTCACGTTGAATGTGTACCACCTGAGGGGGGAGATGCGTTACATTAGCTAAAGGGGATCTCTTCCCCTCATCATGAACCCCCTGGGGGGATTTTCTTCACATCTTGCTGTGCTGATGACCACAATATGCACACTCCCTCTGAATTTAATGAACATGCAGTAAGACTTTGATGTGACTGATTCCCTTTGCAGATGGTCCATATTTAACACCACAGGTCTTTTCATGGACCAAACATGTGCATCAATGAGTCCATCAAAGTTTCTAGTACTGGGTTTGCCTGTTTTATGACTACGCATGGACTTGGCTGCAGGTCTCAAAAGCCCAGAAGTCAAGTCAGCAGGAGGGGACCCAACTTGAGTCCCGACATGCTCAGTCTGAGTAAGAGGAGTCCCAATTATCCAACTCCCAAGAGCTCAAATCGAGTCAGAGACACCGAGGTAGAATCTGAGTAGAGATCTAATAAGGGAAGGGGGTCAAGTCAAGTCAAGTCCCCAGACCTGGTCTGAGTCAAGTGCTCATTACCTGAGTGCAAGTCAAGTCTCAAGCCAGAGTTCAAGCTAAACCTAAACCACCAAAAAAAAAAAAAAAAGAATCCAAGTCTCAGGCATCATCTTAGTCCTGAGGCCAAATCTGGTTTGGAGTCCTCAGTATTTATGTTGTTTATGATTCAAATCCAAGCTGAGTCAAGGTCAAGTCTACATGACCTTGGTCTTTCTCAGTTCAGTTGAGCTCAGCCGCAAGCCTGGCGTGCCGGTCGGGACTCTTTGGTGAACGACACATAGCCTGTGAGCGAGTGAGGGGGCGGAGTCTCGTGATTTGCCCACAGCGAATGAACGATATTTATCAGTAAGACAGTGAACGACACTGTGAATGAAACGAATGACTTCTGAATGACTTGATGCAGGCAGAGGAGGGAGGAGTGTAGCATCGTTCACAAACTGCCGAGCACCGGTTCGTTCACTGAGGCTAAGATAAAACTGCATTATAGTGCCTTTACATTAATACACGTGTATAAACTTTCCTGCATGAAGGATTTAATTTCAGCCGATCTAAAACAATACGCAATTTGATATCTTTAAACTGCAGTGTTTATTTTTAATCTCTCCACTTTTCCACGATATAAAAGAACGATGACTCATGCTCGCTTAGCGGGCGTGCTGCTTGCTGCTGTATTTTTTCTGCCGACGGCGACACACAGAGAGGTGAGTTTTTCAGGGCAGGGGAGTGATTCTTCCTTCTGGACTTGGTGAATGAACGACGTGTCACCCAGTGAACGATGCTGTGACTTCAGCAGCAGAGGAGGGGAGGGGCTTGTTCAATGAACGAACTCGCCGCTGTCACTCACTCGTGTACCGCACCGGCAGGACGGGGCTCCGAAGCACCAACTGATTCAGTAAACAAATCTTTTAAATGAATCGTTTTAATGAACGGATTCTAAAGATTCAGTTCAGTCAAAAGAACTGTTCTCCCCGTCACTACCTTGTTGAGTTTTGGGTCCTGAGTGTTAAAGTGGAGCCAGATTCTGCAAGAAAAAAATCCACCTTAAAAGGGAAACTTTGGCATTTTTAACCTAGCTCTATATTAACATCTGATAAAAAAAAAAATACCACAGCACACTAAGTTTGTCCCTTTGTGCTGCCCTTACAAAAGGGAAAATCCCCTGTGGTCATAGAAATCTGCGTCTGGCCTGTACATTTGTTAAGATCTGCATTACTTGGCGTAGTAACAATGGCATAAGTGGCCTCAAGTGGCTTTTATATTTCAGTGCCCTTGAGTCTAAATTGAATTATCCATGAATGTTGCATTGTCTCCGGAGAATAGTCGCCAACAAACCAGAGGGCTCTACGAAGGGAAATGTGGACCCGAGGTTCAGAGTGAGTGTTTGGTCCTGCACATTCAGGATCATAACGCAGGACAATACCTGGAAATAATTCCAACTGAGGCATTTGTCTGCCACCGGATCAAAGTTTTTTTGATTTAGTACAGCTTTAGGAAAGATGTGAGTGAAAAATAAACCCATCTCATCAGCTGAAATGGCCATATGATGGGGAAAAGTGTCCGCTCACTGCGGTAAATACTGCCAATTTGACTCCAGTATGTAATTGAAACTTCTGTAACAGGTTTTCCTTTTGGGCATCCCTTCAAACTCATCACGACAATGAGACGGTATTTTTTATTCCCACCTGTGCCAGGATTTCAGTCTCACTGCAGCTCATTCTTCAAGGATAACTCACAAACCTAGTGGGAAAAGGTGATGAGAATAAGAACAGGACCCTGACACAGAGTGGATTTCACTGATTTGAGAAAGGATCAATGTATACAGCTAAAAGATATGTTCCCTGATTGTATATTACCCTGACATCCGTCTGAGGCTGTATACAATGGATGGAAATGAAACTATAATATGCAAGAAAACCAGTGTTTACAGTGTAACCTTAATGTAGAAGAAGAAGCTACAAAATCTCTTTTTAATCTGCTTATAAAAGTGAGAAAACCTCTCAACCAAAATCAGTACATATAACACCTTTGTGTTCAGACGTATTTTGTTTATGTGCCTACATTCAGAACCAACAAAAGTTAGAGAACATAACTACTGAGTTAAGAACTTAATTTAAAGCTGAAATGAGAAGTTTTTCTTTTATTTTTTTGAAATAATAATTCACAGTGATGCATTTTGTGATATCTAATGGTAAACAAGAGCAACCGACTGCAAGATTAGTGTTTTAATATTCAAGTTTATTATGTCTGAAATTGTTGGGAGGGGGTAGGCTTAAACTGAACAGCAGAAGACAGCTCAGTTTTTACAGTGTTTTATATAAAATATTTGCAAGAAATGAAACATTTGACTTCTAAAGAAGAAAAAAAAGTTAGACATTGAGTTTCATATTCTTTTTTAAATGTCTGGTCCTGGGATTTAAGTCAAAATTTTGACTTTTTTTCCTGAAAATTTTAAGGTATCAGTCAAATTCCAGTCTTGAATCTCGAAATTCTGTGTTTAAAGTCAAAAATATGAAGCATAGTGGTTGTTCAGGAAGGACACAAAGTAAAGCTAAAGGCTACAGTCAGCTGATCTCCCCAGCTCCTCCTGTTTATGTTGTGTCTGATCTTACCAGTGTCAAATGTATTGTCACTGATGCTTGCTCTGTTCTTTGGAGGGATTTAAGTTATTTATCTTAATTTTATTTATTTGCTGCTGCTTCCTCTGCCTTGGCTTTTCATGTATGCACATGAAAGGGAGAGGAGGAGCTCTCCCCTCTTAAAGCCGTGGGATTCCACGCAAGCGCATGGAAGGGCAGGGAACTCTCAGAACAGAGCCGTACTGCCAATGTAAAAATATTTGCTTGTAATAAAGAACCAATTTTGACTAAAGTGGTCCTGACTGAACTCCATTTTTTTCTCTTAGAATACTAAAATTCAGTTCAAATTACTAACAATCTCAGAATACTGTGAATAAAGGCAGAATTTGGACTTTTTTAATTAAATTCTGACATTGATTTCAGAATTCTTATTTTCTTTTTCATAAAATTCTGAGTATAAACTCAAAGTTCTGATTTCTTTTTTTATTATTATTATGATTTCATTCCACGAAAGAGTAAGAATTTTTTTTTTATTTTTCTGACAATTCTGGCTTTTTTGTCATAAATCTGCTCAGTCATCAAGAGGACAAGATAAACAGAGACTACTTTGTCCACAGGGGGTGCCAAACACTTAGATATCCTCAAATGAGCTTTACATGCTTAAAGTCAGTTCTTGTGGTTCGACAGGACAAAATATAAAGCTTAAACTGATCTCAGGAATATGATGGATGTAGAGATTGTGCAAGAAATAGTTGAAAAAACGGGAACATGGACAGCATCTGGAAACCCTGGCTCACTCACTACTGCAGAGTAGAAAAGGGTCAAAGTGACTCACTTTATGACCATCATGATCCCATGTCCTCTATTCACATGATATATTTTACTTCATTGTCTGCCAAGGTATAGAGTTACATTTCCTGGTAGCATTGTTGTTGTTTTTCTCGATGCAAGGTTACCTCTATAAAATATTGACATCTCATATGGGTGTGCTGCACTATATATCAGTATATGCCATGCTATCTAAGTACATGACGATGTTGAAGACTTATGCTATCGCTCTAAAATAGAGAAATGAATATTTAAGCTGTGTAAACACGCTAAATTAAACATAGTTTGCAGTCTAGCAGCATTAAACCCGTGCTGTTTACATGGAAAGCTCTGTTGGTTGTGTTTCATCAGAAATACCTTCCCTGCCAATACACTAATCCAGTCTGGAGTAAATAAAGGAGGTTTTCTGCAAGAATAGAAGACTCCGGACAACAGACAACTCGATGTCTTGTTTCTGTTGTGTCGAATTGGAAGCAACAGATTCTAGTCCTGCTCTTTGGCTGATTTGGGTCGCTGTAATTCACTCGCAATCTCCCAAGGTATATTATCACCAACTGAAACTGCAGGGTGATTGCCGGTTCTGTGCACAGGCCAAGCATCCTCTAAGATCAGATATGAAGAGCTGGAGAAGTTCCAATTACACAAGAAGCTGGAATGGAGTGGAGTGCTCTGGTCTGGTCAAATGATGCCCCTCTCCATAGAAAATGTTAGTCATAATGGTAATTACATGCCCTACCATTATATGACTAGCATGCAGAGAAATAGATTACCCTTTGCTGCTTTTCTTCTCCTTGCTCACTGAAAAGACTACTTTCTGTTTCTGCCTGCCACACAACAGTCCGCGACATTAATTTAGAGTTGTGTTATATGCAGTATGTCACAATAAGATGTGTTATAACCCTGTTTACCAAGACAGGATCTAAATAAGGCTTCAATGTGGCTTTTTCTAGCAGCATGACTCACGGTTGACAGAACTGTTAGTGAAGTATGAGCG